CGACGCGGTACACGTTAGCAGATACAAGACGATATTCGAGAAGGGTTATACGCCAAATTGGACCACCGAGGTGTTTAAGATCGTTACAGTACAACACACTAATCCCGTAACGTATCTACTCGAGGATTATCGCGGAGAACCCGTTGCAGGAGCGTTCTACGAGTACGAGTTGCATCGTGCCACTAACCCAGATGTGTATCTTGTGGAAAAGGTACTGCGCAGGAAGGGTGACAAGGTTTATGTGAAATGGTTGGGATTCGATGGATCGCATAACTCGTGGATAGATAAGAACAATGTGGTTTAATTTTTAAAGAATGTATTTATTCTATTAAACATGTATATGAATATATTAAATACATATATACATATATACATATATAGTTGTGTCATTTATTTTACATGTGAATAGACTTATTACTATCCTATAATGTACAATAATACTGTGAATATATTATAAAGGTATTCGGTAATGTCCCCATGGCAGCGTTTCTGTAGAATCGGGCATGATGTATCGTTTGTCGTCGTATGGACTCAGAGCGATTTTCGTCTCGGCTATAGTGTACACCTCATGCAGTTTCGATCTTATACAAGTTTGTCGGCGAGTCATTTCTATCTCGTCTCGCAGACAATGCGTGTAATCGTCGAATGTTATCGTTCGCGCTACCACGTTGCTTTTGACACCTTTAGCCTTCTTCGTATCTTTCTTACCATCGACTCGCAACGCGTACATTTTCGCTCTGAGTCCGACGAATTCCGTCATTATCGCACCATTATTCTCGTCTTTCATTAGACCGGGGACTTTCTTATTTACTAGCGGTATACCGTATGCGTTATCTACAGGATAATCGCTCGTGTCGAATCGTATATGTATATCGCGTTTCATCGTCTCATATACATCCTCGCACTTGATGTGGTATATGAGACTGTCGGTATCCGTATACATGATTTTACATTGCTCGCGATACATCGGTAACATATATTCATGGTGAAATTCATACAAGCAGATCTTGGATATGTCGAGGATGCACATACACACGTAGATCGGCTTGTTGAATTTTACCTCAAGTTTTAGCAACTCCACGGCGATTAAATTTTCGGAAACAATGCTGCGACTATGAAAATTCGGTTTGGAGATCATCGTCTCGGCACCGTAGCGACCGTCCCATTTAGTTACAAGTTTAACGTCGACGTGATTCCGCACGTTTTCCATAGTTTTACCGAATACCGCGTTGTTCATTAATTTGTATAAGTTTTTTTCGAAATCGTTTGTCGCGCGTGTTCTAAACTGAGTATTAAGCTCGATATATTTGCGAAGCCATGGAGATTGCGAGAACTCCAATACGCGATGTATTTTTGTCACGCGAAGCCCATGACGCGTGCACTGTTGCAGGTTGTGGTAGTGTATGACGTAACGCTTCTTATCATACACAGTCGCAAGTAGCTTTTCCTGCCGCTTGCCTGGCGGCTTATCGCGCGTCGGACAGAACGGTAGGTCAGTGTGCGCGTCGTGAAGATGCTGCGGATACTCGAGATCGACCTCGAGAATGTAACCTGTCGATGAGTCCGCGGCGATTGCGCTCGCGTCGAAATTCGTAATATCTTCGATCCATCGAAAATTCGCGTAAGGCAGTGGCTGACACATCGCCCAACCATACAAATTATTAACATCAAAGTACATCAGGTACGAGGATGGTTTCGATGGATCGTAAGACTGCATGTACTTGTTATTGGCTCGAGCGTATCTATTCGAGCACTGGCTCAAACCACCGCGTATACTGCGTTCCACAAACATGACCATGTCAATGTCTGTGAGCAGCTCGAAATTTATGCGCGTGTGTTTCAGCATGGCGTCCTACGTGAAACCAGGCAAAGTATATACGCGGGATCTAATCCATAACTGTTGATGCTACTATCGCGAAAATTTTCAAAAATATCGGCCAATAACAAGACATCGATCTTTAGATATAAATCGTTGTAGTCGCCTAGGGTTTGGATGGAGAATCGTTTCCAGACATTCTCGGCGCGCACGTAATCGCTCTCTGATACGGTGTCACCGGTCAGAGAACTGAAAAATGACTCGCGCGGAGGTAGACGCGAGTCCTGCAGCTTGTCCGCGCAATCCACATATTCATATGGAAATATACCTTTTCGTGTCAATAGATTGAAATCGTCGCTGGATAATTTTGAAAACTCAGATTGTACAATTTTTAATTGGTCTCTATGGAGAAACGATGCCAATCTATCGAGGCTAGTACTCAAAAATTTATATGAGTCAATAAATCGCAGCTTTATACAATTTTGTCGCTTTGAGTTTTCTATGGTATTTTTTACATTTTTTGTAAAGGAAATGTATGTTTCCTTCGTTATGGGTAATACATCAACCGTGCCCTCGAACGCTGTAGCGATTTCTTTAGTTATGAAATGTGCGTCATAGCCTGATAAATTATGGAAAACGATTGGAATGAAATATGCATCTTTGTAATTTAAATTACAATTAGAATGCGCGGGGCCTCTATATCGTCTGGTTAGATGGCAATGGTCACGTACTCTATCGTCACCCTGTGCGAATGGTTTCTCGCATATGTGACAGTGTGTGGCGCTACGGTATGCCCCCCACTGTTCCTTCGACAAATTTTCCATAGGGACATTAGTGGATAATTTTTCTTTTACGTGTTGTGATAACACTTTGAGTTGGTCGGCGAACCACGCGACGCAATCCGTGTCGCGGCGGAAACGGTACGTTGACTGCGAGTTGTCGTACGAGCAATGCACGTAGTACGCAATACTAAATACCTCATGATGCTGGTATGCTTTGGTATCGGTATCGG